CACAGTGTTGGGGCAGGGGTCCATCTGACCACTGATACCTGGTCTGCAAAGCATGGTCAGGGCAGGTATATCACCTACACTGCGCATTGGGTAAACCTGCTGACTGCTGCCAAGCATGGAATGCATGGCTCTGCGGAGGAGTTGGTGACACCGCCACGACTTGCAGGCAGTCCTGCTGCCACCTCCTCTACTCCTCCTACTCCATCCTCTTCCATAACCTCCTCGGCTGAGTCCTCTTCTGCTGCTGCGTCTTGCTCCACATCAACGGCACCCCCCCAGCTCCCCAGGTACTATTCCACATCCCGGATATGGCAGTGTCACGCCGTCTTGGGGTTGACTTGCCTGAAAGCAGAGAGTCACACCGTACCAGCACTCCTGTCCGCCCTGAATGCACAGGTGGATCAGTGGCTGACTCCGCACCAACTGGAGATTGGCAAAGTGGTTTGTGACAACGGAAGAAATTTGTTGGCGGCATTGCATTTGGGCAAGTTGACACATGCGCCGAAGGGTGATGTCACAACGCTTTGTCTCCTAGTCTCCCAGTGACCCCTTTTCACAGGCTAGGAAGGTGTGTGGCCATTTCAGGCGTTCCTACACGGCCATGGCGCACTTTTCAGATATCCAGTGGCGAAAAAACATGCCAGTGAGGTGCTTGATTTGTGACAGCCCGACACATTGGAATTCAACACTCCTAATATTCGACCGCCTGCTCCAACAAGAAAAAGCCGTTAACGAGTATTTGTATGACCGGGGTGCTAGGACAGCCTCTGCGGAGCTGGGAATTTTTTTGCCACGTTACTGGACGCTCATGTGCAATGCCTGTAGGCTCATGCGTCCTTTTGAGGAGGTGACAAACCTAGTCAGTCGAACCGAAGGCACCATCAGTGACATCATACCATTTGTTTTCTTCCTGGAGCGTGCCCTGCGAAGAGTGCTGGATCAGGCCGTAGATGAGCATGAAGAGGAAGAGGAAGAGTTGTGGTCACCATCACCACCAGAAACAGCCTTATCAGCATCGCTTGCTGGACCTGCGACAACGCTGAAAGAGGATTGTGAGGAAGAGGAGTCAGAAGAGGAATGTGGCTTTGAGGAGGAGGAGGAAGACCAACCACAACAGGCATCCCAGGGTGCTCGTTGTCACCTATTTGGTACCCGTGGTGTTGTACGTGGCTGGGGGGAAGAACATACCTTCGGTGAGATCACTGAGGACGAGGAACAGGACATGAGTAGCTCGGCATCCAACCTTGTGCAAATGGGGTCTTTCATGCTGTTGTGCCTATTGAGGGACCCTCATATAAAAAGGCTGAAGGAGAACGACCGGTACTGCGTGTCCACGCTACTAGACCCCCGGTATAAGCAGAAAGTGCCTGAAATGTTACCTAATTACATCAAGTCGGAAAGGATGCAGAAGTTCCAAAATCAATTAAAAAGTATGCTTTACACAGCGTGTAAGGGTGATGTCTAACAGGGGAAGAGGTGGAAATAATCCTCCTCCTCCTACGACCACGCCGGCAAGGACAGGATGCTTTACAGACGTGTTGTTGATGGAGAACATGCAGAGCTTTTTAAGTCCTACACATCGCCACAGCCCTTCGGGGTCCACCCTCAGAGAACGACTCGACCGATAGGTAGCAGACTACCTCACCTTAACTGCAGATATCGACACTCTGAGGAGCGATGAACCTCTTGACTACTGGGTGTGCAGGCTTGACCTGTGGCCTGAGCTATCCCAATTTGCGATAGAACTTCTGGCCTGCCCCGCTTCAAGTGTCCTGTCAGAAAGGACCTTCAGTGCAGCAGGAGGTATTGTCACTGAGAAGAGAAGTTGCCTAGGTCAAAAAAGTCTAGATTACCTCACCTTTATTAAGATGAATGAGGGATGGATCCCAAAGGGACTGACAGTGGGCGATACATTCGACTAAAAAAGGCCTGATGAGGGGGACGTAACAGGGTGTCACGGCTGCCGGCCCGCCGCGTGATATTTAAATCCCTAGCTCACCCCAGTACCTTGCCCTGTCGTGGTTTCCTGTTCCTGGTTTCCTGAGAGTGCTTTATCATTGTGAATCTGATTTCCTGGTATCCTGATCTTGGCTTTTCCCTGGTTATTCTGAATTCTGGTTTCCCTGACTTGGCTTGTGTAAACGGTATTGTGCATTTTCTGGCTTCCTTGACCTCGGCTTTCCCTTTGACCATTCTCTGTCTCTAGCGTATTAGTCCGGCCATTCTAAGGTCCGGTTTACGCTCTGTCCTTTTATTTTCCTTTTCTTGCCTATGTATATGTTTACATAGTTTCTGCGTGCTGGACCACACTAGTAGTCGTGACATTGGGATTAAACTGATAAGAATAGTACTACTTAACACACCACTCCTATCTGGTGGCACATTAGATTGCACGCGCAGTGCCCCAAATTTGAAGAAGGAGGACCGACCAAGCATCTTTTTCCATCTCCCGGTTCCTAAAATCGATGCCATATACACGTCCCCTGATAGGGGACGTAACAGGGATTAAACTGATAGGAATAGTACTACTTAACACACCTTATAATAATGCAGAGAGAGGCAACGCAAAGAGAGGAGTCTGAAGAAGAGGAGTCAGAGGAGGAAGGTGGCTTTGAGGAGGTGGAAGACCAAACACAGCAGGTGTCCCAGGGGGCTTGTTGTCACCTTTTGGGGACCCTTGGTGTTGTACGTGGCTGGGTGGAGGAAGAGACCTTCAATGACATCAGTGAGGACAAGGAACGGGACATGGCTAGCTTGGTATCCAACCTTGTGTAAATGGACTGTTTGCGGTTGTTTGTGGTGCGTTAAACGGGGAGTTTGGTCTGTCACTCTGAAGCGGGCGTAACCCTTACACTACCTGATCGATACATCATACCTGATGTTTTAAAGCACGTTATTCCAAACAATTTAGAAATGTTAGGTGATTTATGCCCTTTATGGATTAAAACCAGACTCTGCATCAACTATATAATTTTCCATGGGAGTTTTGCCATGGATCCCCCTCCGGCATGCCACAGTCCAGGTGTTAGTCTCCTTGAAACAACTTTTCCATGACTATTGTGGCCATAAAAAGTCCCTGTGGGTTTTAAAATTTGCCTGCCTATTGAAGTCTATGGAGGTTCGCCCGGTTCGCCCGGTTCACCCGTTCGCGACATCACTACTGATACACTCCCTTTCATGAATCAATGCAACAATTCTGGGTACAAGTAAAAAAAGACTATCCAAGACACTACAAAGGTAAATCTACCATTGCAACCAGAATACTACCTGCTGCACTTAATACCCACCCTAAACTGCCTACCTGGTAAAGTAGTTATACTCCGCATTCTGCGAGCAGTGGAAATTAATATAGCCAATTCTTGTAAAAGTCAATCCACATCCCAGAGAGCAGAATGGGGTCCGCTGGTGCACCATACTACTCAGACACAGTAGGGATATGTTGAATGTATCGGACGTGTTTAAGACTTTCTCTTTAGAAGATGAATATTGAATGTTTTGTATTCTCTTTATTTGTTCGTTCTATGTAAAACTCTGTCAAAAACTTCTCAATAAAAAATTAGAATTTTGAATATTTATATATAATTAATACAATTAATCCAGTTAAAATAATTGTAATTTTGATATTTAGAAAAAGTGTATGTATGCAATGCATAAACTCAATGCAAACAACTATCCCCCCAAAATATATACAATAAATTTAATTCAAACTTCAACAAGTAGAGAAAAAGAAAAGTTAATAAAATCCATAGTCCATTGTCCTCCTAGGAGACAATGTTCCCAATCTATGGATCCAAGCGGACACAACCTTCAGGAGTCTCCTAATTCTAGAATAAGACCCACAGTTATTAGGAATCCATTTAGGCCCATTACCTCTAGTCTATTAGCATCAGAATGATAATGCGGTCTAAAAGCAGCTATCATCAGTGGCTACCATTTTTACAACCTTTTAATTTTAAATAGAGGACCTATGTTCCACAAACCTACATTTACGAGGTCTGGAAGTTTGTCTGACATACTGCAGCGGCAAGTAAAAAGATATACTACAGGTAATTCTTTGGCCTACAGTATGTTATTTCAAAGTTGTATTAAATACACAGTAATCGGTGCCATATTTTATAAATTGGCATGTGTGCAGGAACCACATTTAAAGGTACCATGTTAGGTTGTGTAAATTGATTATTAGCTTTCGTATCTTTTAACCTAGTTCGAGTTAAAATATTTTTCTACACATCAAGTGAAACTAAAGAAATAGAGCTAAAAATAGATTTCATAATTTGTCCTTTTTGTTAAAAAGTGGGACTAGGATTTCAATAAATGTTTAAAGATTTAAAAAAACTTGGAAGGGGGACAGAGCCAGCAGCCATACTGACTGGACGTGTTTCGATTATGCTCCGAGCCAGCCAGAGAAATATATGTAAAAACTGTCGAATTTTCCATTGATATTTCCCCCAACATGTGGGCATACTCTACTGCCCATAATGGGGCACAAGAACAAGAAATACAGGGCAGATAAACCCACAACAACTGCCAATATCAGAGATCTTCTGTGCAGGCCGCAGAATTCCACAAGGCCTAAAATGGTGCCTCTCTGCAACAGGCCCTCTTGGTCATCCAGTGAATCGTCCCTTGTCGATACGCAGGAGGAAGGGACAACTGTGGAGACGCAGAGAGCTGACTTACCTCCACTGCAATCTGGTGGCCCACCGTTGATGGAGAGAACTTTGAAGGCTCTCCTAGATGACCTTTGAAGCAACATTGCCACTGATGTCACCCAGTTTAAAGTGGAGCTTAACGGAGTGTTGGTGCGACTGCACGATGCTAAACTTAATACCATGGCCCACATCTTACTACTGTGAAACAGGACCTGACTGCCCATAAACAGCCCATTACCCATAGTCCATAGAGGGTCACAGATGCTGGAAAAACATGAAGATCTGAGGCCTAGTCGACACGACTACAGTAGCTGAAATACATCACCTCCTTCATCAACTGTGCGGGATTTGTATCTCCATAAAGGCACACCCCTAACTCACTGAACTTGCTCACATTGCTTGAAAGCAGACTCTATTAAGTAGACTCTTTCAAGTAGGAGTTAGAAAACCAGGAGTTAAAACTAACAAGGTAATTGTTTTACTGTTCTGTATCTGGGGAAATGAGTGTTAGCAAGATTGGTGGTTTGACTCAATACACATCTTGTTGCATGTATGCATGCCTAGATGTACTCATCCAGGGTCCATACCTCTGTGACGGTTGTGTGCAAGTGGCTTTTCTGGAAGCTCAGATTGGAGATCTTGAGAAGCAAATCGCAACTTTGAGGGAGATTGACAATCTTGAGAGGAATCTGCTGCTCACTGAGCAGAGTTTAGTGGTGACAGGTAGTGGAGAGGGAGGAGATAAGACAGATGGTGGAACAGGCATCTAGCTGGGTGACAGTGGGGCGAGGAAGCAGAGGGGGAGGGAAGAGAAAGGGGCTAGCTAGTCCTGATTTAGTGCAACCTAGCAGATTTGCCCATTTGAGTGAAGATGTTGGGAGCATCAGCTCAGGAGTAGCTGTATTAGAGGAAGCTGTTACTTCTAACAGCCGAGATAACAGCCCTTCTAGTACGGATGGGGATCAAAATGTAAGGAAGGCAAGACAGGTTGTGGTGGTAGGGGACTCTATCATTAGGAGAGTAGGTAGGGCAATCTGCCGCTCTGATCGGCTCAACCAGACAGTTTGCTGCCTTCCGGGTGCTCGGGTCCGGCATGTTACTGACAGAGTGGATGGATTATTGGGGGGGGCTGGGGATGACACAGAGGTCATGGTCCATGTTGGTACCAATGACAAAGTAAGAGAAAGATGGAAGGTCCTAAAGAATGATTTCAGGGAATTAGGTAGCAAAATTAGGTAGAAAAGGACCTCCAAGGTGGTATTCTCTGAGATATTACCTGTACCACGCGCTACAGTGGAAAGGCAGTGGGAGATTAGAGAGGTCAATGCGTGGCTTAAGTCTTGGTGCAGGAAGGAGGGTTTTGGGTTTTTAGAGCACTGGGCCGACTTTGCGCTTGGGTACAACCTTTATAGTAGTGATGGATTGCACCTAAACAGGAGAGAGTCTGCAGTGCTGGGGGATAGGATGGCTAGTAGGTTGGAGGAGATTTTAAACTAGTAGTAGGGGGGAGGGTCATAGCAATCTACAAAATCGAGATAGGACAGTAAGGAGATGGGCTTTAGCTCAGTATTACTGGGGTGGAGATGGGGGGAGGGGCAAGCTCAGAACAGAGAAGGTATGTAATGTTGACAGTAAGGAGATGGGCTTTAGCTCAGTATAACTGGGGTGGAGATGGGGGGAGGGGCAAGCTCAGAACAGAGAAGGTATGTAATGTTGATAATTCACAAAAAGTACAAGTGACTCATGATATTAAATGTATGATTACTAATGCAAGGAGCCTAAATGACAAAATGGGGGAACTAGGGGCAGTAGCATACACTAAACAATATGATATAATTGGCATAACTGAAACATGGTGAGGTGAGACACATGACTGGGCAGTTAACTTAAATGGGTACAAGTTATTTAGGAAGGATAGGAAAAACAAGAAGGGTGGTAGGGTATGTTTGTATGTCAACCATGAATTAAATCAAAATCTTAAGCAAGTGGAATGTGATGAGGAAAATGTGGAAGCTTTATGGGTAAATATCTGCTTGGGGGAAAAGAAGGGAAATCAACTATTGGTTGGGATATGTTATAAACCACCTAATGTTAATATTGATGAGGAACAACAGCTGTTTGAGCAAATCGAGAAAGCTGCAAACCTGGGTAACACTTTAATTATTGGAGATTTTAATTACCCGGAAATAAATTGGGACAGAGGGACTAGTACCTCAGCAAAGGGAATTAGGTTTTTAAACTTGTTAAATTACACCTTCATGTCACAACCTGCACAAGCACCAACTAGAATGGACGCTTGTCTGGACCTGGTTTTAACAAACAACGTTGATCTTTTGACCAACATTCAAGTAGGTGAGCACTTGGGAAATAGTGATCACAATATAGTGTCCTTTGAAATAAACTCAAAAAAACTAAAGCACATGGGGTATACTAAAACATATAATTTTTAAAAGGCCAATTTCAATAAGTTAAGGGCAGCTTTACAATATATTGACTGGCATAAACTCGTTAGTGAAAAGAACACTGAGGATAAATGGATCATCTTCCAACAAAAATTAGAAAGGTACATTTCTCAGTATGTACCATTGGGTAATAAATATAAAAGTAACACATTAAAACCAATGTGGCTTAGTAGAGAAGTAAAACAAGAGATTAAAAATAAGAAAAGGGAATTTAAAGCATTTAAATCGGACAAACAAGATGCATCTTATAAAAGATATAAGGAAGCAAATAATGCGTGCAAAAAGGCGATTAGATTTGCTAAAATTCAAAATGAAAAGATGATAGCTAAAGAGAGCAATTTTTTTTTTTTTTATAAATTCTTTATTTTGGATTTACAGTCATATGGGGGTTAGGGTACAGAAAAGAAAGCTTGGGATCAAACATACTTTCATAGAGACCGTGAGTTGCATTGATGCATTACAAAACAGCCCTAAAGGAAAGGCAGTTATAGAGTTTTAGTTCCGTGACTGGTGCTGTCCTTCGCTGTTGCTGTAAGACTTCGGTCTCGAGTCCGAGAGAGGGTTCTGAAGCTGGTTTGTAGATAGCCATAACATTGTGTTGCAGTATTTGATATTTCAACAGTTATAACACGTACATTTTTGGTTCGAAAGTTACATGGTTGTGTGCGTAATGTGCCGTTTGGTTCAGTGTTTGATCGGTGTGTTTATGAGGTTGAGAGCAATTTTTTTAAGTACATAAATTCTAAAAAAACAAAAAATGAAAGTGTAGGTACACTAAAAACTGAAACAGGGGTGTTAGTCAATGAAGACCAGGAAAAGGCAGGAATTTTAAATAACTTTCTCCTCTGTATATATTAAGGAAGAACCCATGGCAATAGATGTGCAAATGATTGCTACTAAAAACTTGCAGAATAATTGTAATTGGTTAACTCAAGACAAGGTGCTGCAGCAACTAAAGAAACATATATAAACAAAGCTCCAGGGCCTGACGGTATCCATCCACGAGTACTTAAGGAACTAAGTGTAGAAATAAATGAACCTGTCAAACTAACTTGATTGCGTTCTACGAAGAAGTAAGTAGAAGTATAGATCAGGGTGTTGCAGTGGATGTGATCTATTTGAATTTTGCCAAGGCATTTGATACAGTTCCACACAATAGATTAGTGTTCAAACTCAAGGAAATCGGTCTAGATGAAAATGCTTGTTCTTGGGTAGAACATTGGCTTAAAAAACAGAGTACAAAGAGTTGTCATTAATGGTAAATTTTCAACTTGGCAAGTGGTGTCCCTCAGGGGTCTGTTTTGGGACCCCTTCTATTTAACATGTTTATAAATGATCTTGAAGACAGCATTGAAAGTCATGTTTCAGTGTTTGCAGATGACACAAAACTCTGTAAAATAATACAATGTGAGCAAGATATTACTTTGCTGCAGAGGGATTTAGATAGACTGGGGGACTGAGCACTCAAATTGTAGATGAAATTTTATGTTGAAAAATGCTAAGTTATGCACTTCGGCGTAAAGAATACACAAGCAACGTATTCCCTTAATGGAAGCGAATTAGGGATAACAACACACGAAAAGGACTTGGGAATTGTTATAGACAACAAACAATGCAAAAATGTGCAATGTCAATCCGCAGTGGCCAAGGCCAGTAAGGTATTGTAATGCATGAAAAAGGGCATTCATTCTCGGGACGAGAATATCATTTTGCCTCTTTATAAATCACTGGTAAGACCACATATTGAATATGCTGTGCAATTTTGGGCACCAGTTCTAAAGAAGGATATTATGGCACTAGAAAAAGTTCAGAGGCGGGTTACAAAATGAATAAAAGGAATGGAACATATCAGCTATGAAGAAAGGTTAACAAATTTAAACCTATTTAGTTTAGAAAAATGTCGCATGAGAGGGGATTTGATAACATTATACAAATATATTCGGGGCCAATACAAACCATTGTGTGGAAATCTATTCACAAACCAGACTTTAAATAGGACACGAGGTCATGCGTTTAGACTGGAAGAAAGAAAATTTCGTCTAAGGCAAAGGAAAGGTTTTTTTCCAGTAAGAACAATAAGGATGTGGAATTCTGTGCCTGAAGAAGTGGTTTTATCAGAGTCCATACAGATGTTCAAACAGCTACTAGATGCATACTTGCAAAAACAGAGGATATAATCAAGGGTATAATTGTTATGGTTGCCTCCAGGCTGGCTGGAAGTTGGACCGTAGAAAGGATGCTCCTAGCGCTCACCAAAGGACCATCAGCACCATAGACACTATAAGCACTGCAGACTCCA